CCCAGTCACTCTCTCTCACTCGCGCCATGTACAAACGTCGCCAAGTACACACGAACATACACATTCAATTGAATACGCGCCCGCGCACTCTGGCCAATTCAATTCTTTTTCTTTCTCTCCGTTCCCCTTTCCCATCCCGTCCAAATAATGCACCGAGGGCGCGCCTATCGTTCGTTACAACCCAAGGACACGGTACTAAAATACTTCCAAAACAGCTTGAAGATGCACCATTCGATGAATAATTAATCTCTTATTTACAAAGTAAATCAATTCCCCCGTTAATTCATCTGTCAACTCGTCAACTGACAATGGACATGAAAAGAAATTGACAGTAGAATCAGTTAACAGTGTTGAACTTCTTTTTCTTCTTTGTACTGAGTTCTCTTTTACTTCGCGGCCTTTTACTCTCTTTCACTGGCGTCTCCCACGATTCAAGGCCACCTTGGCACAACGCCATCAGTTCAACTTGCAGTGAGTACGAGACTTCCTTTATATATATCAGTATATATTTTTTTTGCTCCTTTCCTCCTGTTGATCTTCCACTTGTTTCGTGAAAAAAGTTTTTCCCCCAGTTTAGTTGTCTCTCTTTCACTCACAATATTCGATTCATTCGTAGTTTAGAAGCAAATCGGTTGGATATGTTTTTTATTTTTCAGGAAAACTCGGTTCCACTGGCATCAGCACTTCGTCACGTGTACGTGTCAAAATCAATATTTAGCGTCACTGGGTTATGATAACGCGGGCCCGCCTGTCGGGCGTATACATCGTGTCTATCTTGTTGCGCTTTTAGGTGGCGCGATGGGGTGTTGCATTGCGTTTTCCATGTATATAACGTCTATATATCTTCGTGTAATGTTGGTACATTGGTGTGTGTCATGCAAAGTGGCAGAAGACGTGTTTCAAACTCGCTTTCACGGAATCTTTGTGCATGTTGTTGTGCACGGGTGTGTGCATAATATGAATATATACGGGATGACTGGCCCCGGCGATCGAATTTTATCGCGGGATTTGTAAAGCCGAGTGATGCAATCGCAACAGTTTCCATTCTAGTTGAATTTTCGGACTGCATGTAAACTTCCGACGATTGTCATGGACTGATCAATGCCACTCGACTTCACGTTCAATCTATTTTTCATTCAATTGTTTCTATATTTATACAGATACATGAAAATTTCATGATCTATTGATACTGAATGATACGATCCTGCGCAAAACAAACTTATCTGTTAAATTATCATTACTTCCCTGAAGAGTCCTTTTTGGTCTTGCCTTCCGATGGAGACTTTATAATCGTTGAAATTTAAGGTTTTGTATTTTTTTTTATTTTTGATTTTTTTTAGTTTTTTTCATTCTGTTTTTCGGTTTTGATTGCGAATGGAAGTTTTGTAATCGTTGATTTTTATGATCGGCTAATTTTGCCAGGAAATGACGGGGAATGTTATGAAAGGTGAAGATGTGATGGTTTTGGAAAATGTGTGTACACTGAGAGAAAAAATTATTCCTGCCAAGGATTGGTATTCTCGTCAGAAGATAATATTTTTTCAGAACGAATTGTTCCAGGACAGTCATTTTCAAGTCTATCCTCAAAAATTACAGTGATATTGAACAATCTCATTATTATGCTACATATGACCTTGACAAAATGTTCCCCGATAGCTTCCGGATTTTACAAATTGGCGATTTTCTCAGGTAAAGAAAATTGGAATAATTCCAAATGTTAATAATTATTAGTGGAGTTTCTTCGAGGTCATATGCAGAAGAATATTCTTATAGATCACCATAATTCTCACGCTTGGAACTGATTTCGGAGCACCTGGAAATGACTGGCCTGGAGAAATACGTTCCAAAAGAGATATTTTCTTCTACTAAGAGTATGAAAAAGATATCACCAATAACATTTTCTTGGAAGGAATAAATTTTTTTCTCAGTGTACAATGTTAACAGTTTTCGTCTTAATTTTCTGTGAAATCCCGGAAATTTTTATCATGTTTAATTTCCAATGAAATTTCAGGGAATCTTGTCATTGAAAAATCATTTTTCTGTTCGAATGATCTGAAAATCAATAAAACTCTTGGTTTTTTAGTTTAATTATTCTTTGAGCATTCGGAAAAATCTAAAAAATTTAGGGAAAAATTGAAAATTCATGTCATGTCAAGGGTCAAATTAAGAGTCGCGAGGGTCAGATTAAGGGTCACAAGGGTCAGAATAAGGATTATGGGGATTAGCGAGTGGAGCGAGCAGGGGGCGTAGCTGAAAAAATTATCATTATATGTAATAAAATCCGCCAAAAAATAATAGAATTTTTAATGGAAATCCAATGGAATTTTCTGTCCTGTATCGTAGATTTGCTATAAAAATTTTTTGTTCGTGAATTTTTGGACGAATCGGAAAGACTTCGAAGTTGATCCGTTAACATGTGTCTCTGCTACCGTCAATGTCTTGATGGCTTATTCATTGCTCTATCGATTGGTCATATGTGGACTCTTCATGTATGTGCGGAACCTCGGTTGCAGCCATTTCTCCCTTATGAAACCCGCACTCGAGGGAAAATTCGGTGTATACAATAAGTCGAGCAATGACTTGGCCCCAATTGAAACTGAATAATTTATTCCCCAAGGACGTTACAGGAAAACCTATGTATCGGGGTATATTGATTATTCGATTTGTATTTTTTATGGTCAAACAGTCGAGAACTGACGTGATTACCGAAATTATTGATGAGGTTTGTTATGCAATAGTCTATTTTTATTGTATCGTACTTCCGGTGGGTAATTTTGTCGTTGAAAAAGGACATATTCTGGTAGTGAAATGAACTTTCCTCCCACTTTTGTTGAATGTCAATGGTAAAAAAAACTATCCCATTTTATTCTGCTTGGTGTCATGCCGTAGAAAAGAAAGACAAGAGTGAAAGACAAACTGATAATTTCGTGTTTTTTGATTAAATGGAGATGATAAACTTTTTATTCTACAAGAATTACTGCAATATTTCTGAAAATACTAGGCAGAAATTTTTTTACTGTAACTTCCGGTACACTTCCTGTAAATTTTCATAAAGTTGAAGGTTCACTGACATTTTACGGA